GGTCTCCATCCCTCCCAAACAGCAGACTAGCAGTGCCTGCTCCCCTGGGAACGCAGATAAACACTTCTGCAGGGCTACACTTCACTGAGACTGCCGAGCACAGGGGCACAGCCCTAGCGAAGGATCAGACATCAGACTTCCAGGGGCACTGCAGGGCATCAGACAGCCCTTCAAGGCACTGACTATGGCAGCGGGCCGTAACTGGCCCTCCCAAGTGGGACTCCACCTAATCTAAGCTGCTCCTCTGTGCATTTCTTGAATCAAACAAGCTCACTTTACCCCATTTGGCTTCACTCTTTAGACCCCTCCCTCTGCAAAGCTACTATCCATCTCCTCCCACCTTCTGATGATCACAGCGTTAACCACCTGGGAACTCTTACAGGTGTCTAGGCACATTTCCTCCCAGGGCAGTCTGAACACTGTCACAGTTTGAATATCGCCAGGAGAGGGGGAAGACGCCTGAACAACATCCTCCTAGCCCACGGAGGTGCCCCAAATGCAAATGCCTCAGTACACCTCAGAGTCTTCCTAAATCAAAAATTTGCCACTCTTAGCCAAGAGGATCCTGCAGTATTACAACTAGCTCCCCCCTTCCCCACCTCCAGCAGCTACAGCTTTTAGCTCCTCCTTCCACACAGGGCCCAAATTCGAGGCAGTCCAACATTTACTTCCTTACTCGCCCCCAGACCTCCTCCTCCTGTCCCATTTGATCTCAAAGGTTGCCTTCTCTAGACATGGGCATCTTCTGGTGTGTGGAGACAAGGCGCACATTTCTCTACCAACCGGACCAGAGCCTGTACCTTAGGCCTCTTCACTCCCACCCTTTCCTCGGCACGTCAGGTCTACCCATGCCTACCTCCCCGCACCACCCACGCCAGGGCACTGACACTGTACAGCAGGCTCCCGGCGTGGCCATCCTGGGAACAGTCACCGGAACTGGAACGGGGACTGGAGCCCTAGGAGTCTCGCTTTCAGAGTTTTCCTGGCTGACAAAAGAACTTGCCGAGGGATTCAGAGAAGTCTCTGACCAACGGGGACACTTGCAGGATCCAGGAGACTCCCTGATTGCAGTTGTCCTCCAGAACCACAGAGGCCTTGATCTCCCGACAGCTTCAGAGTCACATGGGTGCTCTGCTCCAAGAGCAATGCTGCCTTTGCACCAGGAAACCCAGTCTCATCTGAGACCGGGTAAAACGCCGTCACGGAGAAACAAAAACAAAACAAACCGTCTCCCAGACTCCTTGAAGGCTCTTCCAAGGATCTGTTTCCCCTTCTCTTCATTGACACCTACCCCATCCTGACCCCCTTCATGGTTATTCCTCTTTTTCCTCTTTTTCTTTCCTGTATAATTAGTCTATTTCAAAGATTTTTTTTCAGGAGTCAATAGTGACCATCTTGCAGGCAACCACTTGAGCCCTCCAAGTTATCATAGACAGCTCAGTCAGGGAGAAATACAGCAGGCAGTGAGACACGGGTGGGGCCCTCCAGGGAGTCAGCGCAGAAGATGGGAACCCATCAGGGCTGTGGCTGGAGGAGCATCTGAAGATTGAAGTCACATGGCTGGTTCTATATATTCCCCTAAGGGATGAACGGAGGCTTGGGATTGTTGGTGTCACCCTTTTGAGATTTCCCACTATCTCCTTAGGGGTGGGCCATCCTCTCCCACCTACTAAGACTAAGACCATGAAGACTAAAGTCAAGACCGAAGACTATGAATTATTGACCAAGGTTAGTGATGTCACTCGTGCACCCTTGCTACCGTTAGATCAATATTACCCAAGTGACTATACTTGCAATCTTATTGGTTGATCACAATTTTGACCCCTATTTTACCCGCCTCGTGATTTTGTTCTATAAACTTCCTTTGAGAAGTGGGCTCATTGGCAACCCATTTGGGACCCCTGCTGTCGCTCAGGAGCTGTCCTTGTCCCCATTCCTTCTCTCCAGTTTTCCTACTCTTAACCTCCACTGGTCCTTAAAATTCATTCTTTGACTTCAGGGCACACAAACTTAGCATATTTGACATCTACCATTTCCCCTATGTCAAAATGGCCTTCTGTCTCCCAAACATAAAAACAAAAACCACCTTCATTGCCCTCTCTCATCAGGAAGTAGCCCAGGAAAAATGATGATCCATTTCCTATCCCCGCTTAAAGCCAAGGATGATAGAGCCCAGACAGGGACACCACCAGTTCCAGTGAGCCCACACACCGTCTTAGAGAAATGTAGGTTTCCTTTTACTTAGGTCCCTGGGACATGTCAGTAGGTCATAAAGGACGTGTCAGCATGATATAGGGGAAATAAATGTAACTCTCAACCTACTAGATGTCAGATATGCCAAGTTCCTGTTCTCTGAAATTGAAGAATGGATTTTAAGGAACAAGAGAGGTTGGGAGTTGGAAAATTTATTGAAAGAAGTAGCTTTTGAGAGACAGGAGGGGACTTGAAAGTGGGCTGCCACAGAGCTCACTTCTCTGAGTTTTACAGAGCAAAATTATGAAGTGGGTACAACAAGGGTCAAATTATAACCAACCAGTAAAATTGTAAGTATAGCGGTCTCGGGATCATCGGAGGAGGGCTCTGGGGCTCAGCATGCAGATGTATTGCTTTCTGTGGCTGGTGTTGGAGCCACCATGGCTCCTTGACCTGGACTTGGAGGATCCGCAGTAGCAGGTCACGGGTCAGACCAGGTTGAAAGCATGGTGCCTGTGAAGGACTGAATCATTAAGGTTACCTTCAATGCAGATGTATACGCCAGTCTCCAGTGGAACTTCAGACTTCAGCAATCAGAAATATACGTGGTACCAGGAGAGACTGCACTGGCCTCTTATAAAGCTAAGAATCCTACTGACAAACCAGTCATTGGAATTTCTACATATAATGTTGTACCACGTGAAGCTGGACAGTACTTTAATACAATACAGTGCTTCTGTTTTGAAGAACAAAGACTTCATTGCCAAGAAGAAGTAGGCATGCCAGTGCTTTTCTATATTAATCCTGAATTTGCAGAAGATCCAAGAATGGCGAATGTTGATCTTATAACTCTTTCTTATACATTTTTTGAAGCAAAGGAAAGTCATAAGCTGCCAGTTCCAGGTTATAACTGAAGTAGCACCCAAGCCCAGCTTCAGATTTGTGATTTTCGAAAAATTATATATCTTGCATTCTTGTTGGAGAAATATTCTACAGTGTGAATTGAAATTTTTTATTTTAAATGCCTCTCCTTTTTTTCCTCCAGTGAATTTACTTTACTCAAAATTGAGAGAACAGATTCAACTTTAGTCATAAGAAACTGATACGCCTCTTAAAGCACGGCATTGTTCTATAACATACTTAGGAATTTGATGGTTTAAAATAAAACAAGGTGGTGTGATCTGAAAAGGGAAGAGGGGTCACTAAGCTCTAATGACGTGCTCAAAGATTACAAGCTTATTTCAAATGGGATGCTATTCTTCTTTATGGGATTCTTCTTTATGGTCTAAGGCTATGGTACATTCAAAATAGTGAATATTTTAAATACTTTGAAATTGTGATATCATGAAATTGAAATAAAATATATCTACTAGGCTGGTAACATTTGCCATCATAGTTCCAATCCACTGAATGTTCAGCTGTAAGGATAGGATTGTGAAAGTTTACTGATATACAAGTAAAAGTTCTTCTGTAAAGAAAATTTTGTAAAAAAAAATTTATTAAATTATTTTAATATTTTAACAAAAAGATTATAAGTATATCCGCTTAGCTAATATTGATCCAATAGTAGTAAGAGCACACGGCGAATGTCATTAACCTTGGTCAATAATCTATAGTTTTAGTCTTGCTTTTAGTCTTAGTCTTAGTAGTTTTAGTGGGTAGAAGACGCCTCTCCATGAGATAATGATTTATTTACATGGGAAATCTCAAAAGGGTGGTACCAATAATCTGAAGCTTTTCTCTGTCCCTTAGGGAAGTATGTAAATCTGGCCACTGTGACTTTAATCTTTTTCAGATGCCCCTTCAACCATAGTTCTGATGTGTTGATCTTTTGCCCTGACTTCCTCCAGGGTCCAGCCCTGTCTGACTGCCTGTAATAGCCCCCACCTAACTTAGCTGTTCATAACACTCAGGTTACAGAGGACATATCAGCAAGCCACAGCCCACCACTCCTCTTTCTCAAACTCCTACCCAAGAAAACACTATGAAAAAAGTCTTTAAGAGACGCCTGCTCTGCTCTGCTCGCAGACAGGTCCCACTCAGGCGTAGCAATAAGCCTGCTTGGACTATTGAGTTCACATCTCTGCTTTCCTGCTCACAAAGACTGGAAAGTGGTTTTTAGTGAACATGAAAATTAAGACATATTGTCACCAGGCTGGGCCTGGGGATCCCTGAGGCAGAAATAAAGAATTTAGCTCATCCTTTTCATAGAATAAGTTTTTGAGTTTGCCAACTCTCACTGCGGAAGAAGGATTTTTAGGACGCATCAGGAAGAGATAAGAGACGTTCTCAAGAGCAGAGTGTGGGTGCTCAGAGGACTGAGACATACTACAATTTTTTGGGGGGGGTATCAGGAGTCGAACTCAGGACTTTGCGCTTGCCAGGCAGGTGTCTATGCTCTGAGCTATATCCTCAGCCCGACACGCCACAATTGAGAACTGGCAATACTGCGCAAGTTTGGGGTGGTAGGAATCTGTGGAATTTGATAATCTCCAGTCTTAGTCTTGTCCAGTGTGTGGAGAAGATGGCCCAGCCATAGTAAGATAATGGCCCATTCAGATGGGAGACCCTAAAGGTTGGTCTACTCACAGATACAATAGGACCGTCAGGAAATGAAAAGGGAATGGGTCAGGAAATGAAAAGGGAATGGGCTCGCCCACTTTCAGGTGAAAGGGAGTTGCCCAGGTTTACTGTGCTCTGGAAGAACAGAAAGAAATAAAAATAAGCTTGTGTTCTGATGCTGCTTTCTTTTTT